GAGTTCCCACCATCAATCATAATATCACCTTTCTCTAGATATGGTACCTAGTAACAAAAAATATAGACTTATACCCAATAGAACACAATGTGTGTTGTTGATATTTCAAATAATGACCTCTATGCTTAGTAGTAAGTGATAAAGTATTTTTGCCATTTCAAAAAAATAAAATGAAATTAATAACTATTTTGTACCTAATTGGCTAATGAAAATGAGCAATGTCATACAGTGTGCAATCAGATTTCCAACTGTCGAGGGATCATGCACAGCCTGTAGCACAGGGCCATCTGAACAACTAGACACATTTTCCATGTCAGCCCCTCCAAAGAGCAAGTCTAGTGCCATCCCTCTTGACGCTTGTCAAATTAACCTTTTGACCTAATTCGATGATGTCTGTTTTCCTTAATTAAATTTCTACCCTCTCCAGCTCTAGCATTTTGTGACTCCGTATTTATCAGGTTAGATCAAAAGGTTAATTTGACGCTCTTCAAGGTCTTAAATTAGACCCTAACTGAAGTGGCAATATCACAAATAAAATCTAATGCCTTTATTCAGTATCCACTAAACGTTCCACCTTTTGGCTGTACAAAAATGAACATACTGGCTTGTACTGTGTATCCATTTAAAACAATAAATAGTTCGGCAGACAAGGCAATAATTGTACCACCTGGGATACTTATGAGTGAAATATCAAATGCTTTATACATAAAACAAGAATTTTATGATTTTTTATAGGATTAATCTTTGAGGATAATAACACCAAGAGCTACTAAAAGGCTGTAAGCTGAAAAGAGCAATAACTGATGTTGCCTATGTTTTGTTTTAGGGGTTTTTGATAAGGCTCTAATATCTCACCAATTGATCAATGAAGTCATCAACAGGTTTTCCAGCTTTAACTAATAACATGACTCTTCTTGGTTTCTTTAATAACTTGACCATTTCTTCTATAGATTTGGCACCGATAATCTTAGTCCCCTTAGCTTCATTCTTTAAAAATCTTTCAACTTTTTCTACTGTTCTGTTATAGGCTACAACCTGAATTGAGATATGTTGGATTAAAACTCTATTCTGTTTTGAATTCACAAACTTAAAATTTGATATAAGCTTGATCAGATTTAAAAGAATATACATGTCTGTCTATTTGATAATTAATAGTATACTTAATAATTATAAGTAACATCCAAAAGGTGTAAGTAGATGTGGGTATGTTACTATTTTCATGTAATCATGTAATTTGAAATATCATCTTGAAACTCAAGACAAATTTTCAGGGATATGGTTAAGAATTAAATGTTGGTCTCACTAACCTTATTGGTCTGAATAAGTCTTAAAGTATCCTTTGAATTCCTTAACACCAAAGACCCCACTGAGACAACTTGTGTACGCCCCAAAAGAAGGAATTTTTCTTACCGTAAAGCCATGATCATTCATGTTCAAAATCAGATTCTGTCCCATGACAGCCAATCCTATCAATGCTATATCAGCCCTGAAAATAATCATAAAACACTGATTTATGGAAACTTGTCGGAAATGGAAATTAAATGTCTATCAAAATAATGGACTTAAAGTCTGCATTTTATGCAATTTCAAATAGTATTTTTTCATTATATTAATATTTTAAATTATTATATTGAAAGTGTGATATTGCAAGATGGTCTGATTGCCTTTCCCCCTGATATTTTTAAGAATTAAAAGCTTCTAAATACCAGACGCAAGACATTTTCTGGTGAAATATCATGATTTTTTACTGATGAATTGTTATATTTGTCTTCAAAAACAAAAGTCTAGAAACATGTCATTCCCTGCTATGGGGACCCTGAAGGCCTTCCCTGGGAATTTTTGAATCACTCTCAAAACCGAATTCCATTGTATCATTAAACTTATCTGAAATTTTAAATTACAAATTATCTTAAAGGGTAAGGTAAATATTTTACAATCCTTATGTTTTCTTGTTGGTGTTGAAAGCAAAATTTATAGAGAAATTTCGCCTACTTAATTTTATACAACTAGTTTTTGCCTGTTATTTACATCGTTTTAATATGAACAGACTGCCCCTGATGTTTTCCATGTCTTAAAGGACAATCGGAATTACTTTAGATACAGCAATGGTCGTGATTGTTGCTATGCGATTCTATGGAACGCCATTCATGCAAAAAGCCAGTTTCAATATTTGGAAAATGACACAAAACGAAAAATGATTTTGAACTTGAGACGAAAATGGCGCGCCACCTGTTGCGAGTTGACAGCATAACCGATTTCCACGGGGCAGCATTAATTTGCGAGTTGGCATTAATTCGAGATTTGGTTCTCCTTTCCTCAAAGTTAGGTTAGAAGAAGACGAACGAGGTAACTGATGAGGTGCCCCATCATGATCAACCAGACTCATCTCTGTCCATGTATCACTCAACAACAAAAAAACATGTATGTATACCCCTAAAGTCATTTTCTTAATAATAACAATAAAATCTTTAATAACAAAGGTGAAAAATTGGGCCTAAATTTTGTCATCCTATAGGTATAGACAGGTTGATGGGGAAGTCAATAAAATAGTATACTGGTTATGTTGGTAATTGGTGTTTACAACTTTGAATACAATTTGTCTCAAGGTTTTTATGTTGGTAGAAAATCTAATAGTAAGGTGTAAAGAGTTCCTTAGAGAAAGACCTGCATATTTTACACTGTTTTTGAAGAGATGATTTTTAGATCTTCATATTGTTTATAACACCTTTAAGTTAATTTATGAGTATGGCTTATTTTTATATATTTTAAGATGGTTTTAAGATATGAGAGCTTTTCATACAAATTTTGTAAACAAATACATATTTATTATGAAGAAATCAAAAATACATTCAAAAATACTTATATATTCAAATGTACCAAAGTGGTGCATACCAAATTAAGTTAAGATTAAAGGGACAGATATTTTTGTCTCCATTAGTACCTAATACCCCTTTCGCACTGCACGATTGAATTATTTAATTCAGTATAACCGAATAGAAAAATCCGATTCAGTTCGGTTCGATTCGGTTCGGGTTGCTTTCGCACTGCAATCCTATCTGGATAGCCGCTTTCTCACTGCCGAATCAACTTATCTGGATAACTTTTTCTTTTTAGTAACACATCATGTCACGTGACAAAACATTAAAAACAAATATGGACGCTGGCAATTATAATTGGAGCAACGACGAAATTCGCTGCATGCTCGCTGTCTGGGGCGATACTAAAATTCAAGATGAATTAGATGGCATGAAGAGGAATAAACATGTTTTTTCAACTATTGCCAACTCGTTCAGATTAATAATGCCAGCTCTCATCCACCATTCCAACCTAGGTTGCACCCACAGTTGACGGGACTGAAATTCCTTGTTTATAAATAAAAAATATGAAAATAAAAACAAAAGCATTTTCTGTTTCCTCTTCCGATATATATATATTCATTCTTTTCCTAGACAATTCGCGTACTTTATTAATCCCGTCAAATATCATTATAACGTCCCCGCCAACAGGAGCCATTTTGAAGTGCTTATACACGTGACACCCCACGTGATAAACTTATTCAGATAACTTCTTGTTTGGTTTCGCACTGCCGCTTATCTGGATCGTATCCAGACGAAATCCACCTCTCGAGGTAGATTTTTCTATCTGGATAACTTCTGGTTATAACCGAATAAGTTTTTTACTTTTGAAGTGCGAAAGGGGTATTAGTCTAAGAAACAGGAATTTCTATTAGTAATAGTATGTTCACTGCTCAATGTCAACATTTGAGCCTTCAAATCTTATGCTTTATTATGTTTCTGTGATGACAGTGCAACAACCACATTGAAACATTGAAAGTAATAAATATTCTAAAAGTAGGCTCTATCTGTCCATAAAATTATACTTTAGGTTTAAATATTCTCCTACATTACATAATACATCACATGTCATTTCAGCTTTAAACAGGATATGTTAAACAGTGTGAATGTATAGCAGGATGTGAATATTTGATTTTATATCCTTATCTTATTTCAACACTGATCTTCATTCTTCATATCATCAAGGAGTTCAATTTAAGACTTTTTCAAATGAGTCGTCTCCCTGTATTTTCAGTATTCAAATCCAATAACTTGATGTATCTACTATTGATTTTTGTATATCATTTATTGATGAATTTGTATTCACAACGGTGGCAACATTAATTCATTGTTATTCAGTATCTATTCCATTTTTATATCATTTGTTTATCTTTACTGAATACTATTATACATATAAAATGAGAATAATGTAGTCTGCTTTGTGTCAGTTAGTATCTGCTGCTAATATTTAATATGTAGTTATTTTTGCAAGTCATTCACATATTAAGCTTGGTTTCCTTTCGGATTTCATAGGGTAGGCCTACTGGTCGCAATCATGTAAGATGACCGAGAAAATGCATTTAACTCAATTTTGGCAGTGAAAGTAGAAAAATTGTTCATTTTTTCTTTCCCTAGAGGCGCAATGACATCATATAAGGTTTTCTGATTTTACATTTAAAATAGACACACTTCTCTCCCAGAAAATTCAGTGAATATGACGTCCTTTTCGGACTGAAAATTCCCCTCTGTGAAATCATGCTTACAAATAATAACTTTTCCAGTGGTTGACATTTTCATGAACCCAAAGGCAATCCAAGAACCTCAGTAGTGTTTAGCATTTGATATTTCAATTCATATGAAAATGATTGCCAAAATTCAATTAAAATCATTGTAGTCAGAGAGTAGACTACTTGGTGTAGGCCTGTCTTTTCGCATTTAAAAAATATGTGCATGTTTTAGCAGAATAATGCCCTAATAACAAGAAAAACAATCATGTATTGATATAATAAAATTTAGAAGATGACTTGCAAATTCTGCAATAACTTGATAGTAGCCTAGTACGTAGGTCCTCCCGAACAAGATATATCTATCTTAATCTGATACGACATTGGCAAGGTACCGTACATAATGATGAGGATTAGGCCTCGTAGGCTGTTTTGATTATCGACCCTCATTAAGAAGACATACAAATTAAAGAAATAAATAACTAAACTTACTTTCCCTCAGACATGTTGCCAGTTTATTGTATACTCTGTAGTGGTAGACCTAAGAGATGTTACCGGTTTATTATACATAGAGTAATAGGCATTGACCTTTGCATGGCCTTCACCTTCGGTAAAGGGTCAGTCGGATATCATACGACCACAACTCTTTTCTTTTTTTGAAAAAGTTGCAGAGGATTGTTACATAGGTCAAAGATTCTCACAGTATTACTTATTATGGCGATTTAGTCTTCAACCTTAGCACTCTTTCTTTTCTATCAACTCATAAGTCGATATGTTGGACTGAAGTTTCATTTAGTAAGCCACCATCATACAGTGGTGTACATGATTGTGTAGTCAACTTGTCACTAAACCGAAATGGCCACAACGACACAGGTCCAAATGTCCACAAAAGTCAAAATTAGTCAAAATGGCTCCGAAAATTACTCTTCGATTTCAACGAAAAATCATTGGTCAAAATGATCCCCCCAAAGAGTCAAATAGACCCTGTCAAAATTTTTTTTGGACATATAATCAAAGAATAATAATACCTAATATTCGTGATGTTTATTTAAAAGAATATAAAGCCAGAAGTTTGTAGCTTATTGAAGTGTTTATCAATTTTATATAAAATGACCTATTCAGAAGAGCATTTTAGACTCGAAATTGAATTGACACTGGTTAGGCTGTAGATTAATAGATATATTCGATATGATAAGCTTATAATATAATATTTTACCTAGATGAGACGGTCTATTCAATATAAAGAGAGATTGAAACTGGTGAAATTACCCCGATGTGCTGGGCAAGTAGGCCTACATTGATAATGTGATATTTCAGTTCAATGAAATCAAATATTATTTCGGGACCATTTTGACTTTATCAATAAATTTCAGCTATATAGGTAGGACCACCTTGAAATAGCCAAGCAGCCTTTTTTAAAATTATTTGTAAAAAAATATGATGAAAATATCTATTTTCTATATCTGATCAGCAATTAGGCCTACCGCACCCCCTTTTCTTTCGACAGGAGTCCAGAACACTATGCAAACGAAAACATACCAATAATGGTGTCCGTGATGCTTTTGACATTATTGTATAGAAAACTAGACAATATACGTCCACATAGAGAGATGTTGGCGTATAATAAAATGAATGGAGTTTCATTTTCTGCACCATTTGGGTTAATGAAGACGGAGAACTGATCTTGAAGGCGAGCGACAAAGAACTGTGCTGAAGACCATGCTTTACACTACAGCACTTCATCTGCAAATTCTCAAAATGGAAATTGGAGAACCCCAGGGCAACAGTTCGTAACCCGAAGAACAGCGATATTTGTTTAACGAGACATTGCTATCTGGACTAATAAAACTTATAAGATAGCTTGCCAGGCAAGGTAATATACGCCCACTGTCAGCTTTGATTTTGAATAGAAATATTTGACGGTATGACAGTAGGCCTAACAATCATCAGTATGAATATTCAACCTTCAGTCATACACTTCTTTTGAGCTCTTTGGGGCGATACTGAATATTATAGAGCATGAGTTATTGCCCTTGTTCTTGAAAACAAGTTCAATTTTTAGCTCGTGAAAATTCTAGAAGGCAAATATTCAACATTCAATCTTACCAATTTTGAACGAAAATCTCTCAATAATCTAATAAATGACGAAAACATTATTATCAGGAAAAGTGACAAAGGCAAAATCGCGATGACTACATTTTTTAAATTGATAAACAGTTGAAAAATACAAATCACTATAGCCAACTTGATACACCTATTTTTATGGAAACTGCGCGAGAAATAAATAAAATTTTACAAAATTTGGTAAAAAAAAGAAATTCATTTCAGAAAAGCAATATGACAACCTTTCCGTGTTCACTGGGCCTCGCCAACGAGTGGTCCGTTGCCAACAAAATTCCTGATTGTTCTAGCGAATCATACCGAGTTTCAGAATAGCCTACTTAGATTACTTTTTGTTGCCTCTAGCATGCAAACATCCTTCTAATCTGAAAGACAGAACCGATTTTGTTGAAAAAGTTAAGAAACTGGACATTCCTGAAAACGCGTATTTTTTTCTTTGGACGTAACCAGTATGACTACAAACATTGACAACAAAGTTGGTCTTGACGCCATCCGTAAGGCATTTGTTTAATATCCGTGTTCTGATCGACCCAATACAGAGATTTTAGATTTACTTAAACTATGTTTTAACGCGCAATGACTTCTTTTTTAATGGAAAAATATATTTACAAACATCTGAAACTGCTATGGGCAAACGATTTGCCCCTAGTTATGCGAATATTTTTATGGCCGAGTGGGAGAGGGAGATAGAAAATCTCACCATTTAAAGCTTTATTTTATTTTATCATTTGTTCCGATACTCTAGAACATGTTTGGGAAAATTTCTTACTTTTAAACAACCACCACACTTCTGTGAAATTGACAGCAAATATTAGCAAAAACGGCATGGAATTTTTGGACACTGTACTGTGTTCAAAGGCAACAACTTTCTTTCTTCTAAAAAAAATTAGACATTAAGGTATTTTTAATGAAACTGATACACAACAACATTTATACAAAAGCTCGTTCCCGAAGCACATATTTTCTGGAATAATTAAATCTTAAATTCTAAGCTTTCAGACATTTTGAGAGAAAATGCCACCCCCTCCCCCTTCACCTTTTATTGCATTCGGTTCATTTCCATGTGGAGGTTCTACTTGTCGCACATACGAACACACCGTTGTTACCCTTTTTTCAAAAATAACAAAAAACGGAAAATTGTTTGCGATGAATGACCTAATTTCTGGCGGAGATTAGAATATCATATATACCTAATTTCTTGTAAAAGATGCTATGTACAATTTGTTGGCGAGACTGTGAGGCCAAATGGACTCAACATTCAAAGTGATAACCAGATAATCCTGTGACCTACGCCAGTGCTTTCATTGAGACTCGTCTCGATACACCCTAACACCAAGTTTCGTCAAAATTCGTCATGAATTGTGCCTTCGAGAGTGTTTACGAGCTAAAAACTAAACGAGTTTTCAAGAGTAACGACAATAACTCATACTTAATGTTTTTCGATTTTTCTGATGTTGCATAGGGTTTATCTTTTGGTGATAACAAACACTCATGCTAAGTATCGTTAAAACCTGTCAAGAATTGTGCCTTTTAGAGTGTTTACGAGCTAAAACTTGAACACGTTTTCAAAAACAAGGGCAACAACTCATACTAAATATTTTTCGATCTTTCTGATTTTCAATAGGGTTCATCCTTGGGTGATAACAAACACGCAAAGTTTCGTCATAATCCGTCAAGAATTATGTCTTCTAGAGTGTTTACGAGCTATTGAACGCGTTTTCAAGAACAAGGGCAATAACTCATACTAAAAATTTTTCAATTCTTCTGATTTTCAATAGGGTTCATCAAAGCGGGATTGCGAGCACTCACACCTAGTTTTGACGGACGGACGGACGGACTTGGGTGGCGGAAATATACGCCCCCATTTCATGTGGGCGTATAAGAAGTGATGAAAATACACGTGAAACATAATATGCCATCTAATGTTGTGCACAACGTGGCTTGGGGATTGGTACGGCCATGGAAACATACTGTGCTGAGTTTAGGAATCGTATCATTAACCAGTTCGAAACTTGTACTGCATGGGTATACTAATCGTTTTGGCTGCACGATAAACTATAATGAAGTGGAAGCTCTTGAGGCAGAATTTGCTTCCTCTGCTGACAATTTTCACCAAAGTCATCATTATACATCACTTAGTTCGAATCGTGTCAGGTGTCAGTAGTGAAGCGTACATGAAAGTAATTTGCGTCGATGGAGATAGACCCTTGATCCTATATCTTAGCTAGCTATAATCAGATTTTTCAGCTGGCAAGTTTTTAACTAGCTGAATTGGGGAGCAAAAATAATCATATGAATAAAGCGGATTTCCATAATTAAATGTATTTAATTATTAAGTTATAATAGGTAAACATATATTATACACGCCAGACATCATAATATACAAGTGGTTTTTGTTATTAATTTATTCATTTCCAAACAATCAATTCATAATTTAAATTTTATCAATTTATTTAAATTTGAGTCACAAATGTCAATCACAATGTAATAGTTTTAAATTATCCTGTATGTAAGTTATCATAATTATTCCGTATGAGAAATCTAGGCTTAAGTGACGATCGTCTTGAATTCAATACAAGGCCTGTGGTACAAAACCTGCTCTCGACTGCTACGCTGCTTGTAGGATGTCTAGATATTCCCGAGCAAGTTCAGCAAGATGAAGAAATAACGTTTCATGTCTTTTCCACACAACCAAAGGGTTATCTTTTTCATCATCTTCCAGTACACGTCTCAAATACTTGCGAACCTCACTCACATAATCACAGTCTCGTGGTTCCACAACAGACATTTCTGTGAACAGAACCATTTTGACACTTTTGATGACTACATCTGGTACTGAAGTAGATAGCTGACTGACTAAATTCCAAATATACTTGTTTGACATTTTTAAATGGATATTCATGTGTTTCTTCTACAGAAAATAAAATATGCATTAGGCCCACTCTTGCATCAAATTGTTGACTCACCAATGTTGCTCATGGCAGAAGTAGCTCATCTTTTTAAATTTTCGAAAATCAAGCACGCATTAGAGTTTTTTTATTTCTTGAAGTTTGTCTTCTAAAATAGGTAAAATTTTCGGTCCGACGAAAAAAGGCAAAACTAGCAAACAAACGCAAACAAGTGTAAACAAACGCAAATGACGGTAAAAAGCAGAGAAAAGATGAATTATATTTAATATCGATCGATATTGAAGGACGCTATTTTATATGTCCACCATGTACTTGAGCCAAAACAGAAAACGATTTTACGCGTTATGAAATTGATCGTGAAAGGGTTTCTAAGCTACTTTTGTGTATCGCCTGAATCCAGTTGATATGCCTTTGATTTATTGTCAGCAAAACAACCATCCATAGACACCTCTCAGACACATTCAATAACTTATAGCTTCAAGATAAATCCATTGAATTCATTTATTCCAAATGCGATGCAATGACAGTTTCTGTTCACACCCCTCTATATAACTTATTTTATAATAATGTAAATAAATTGTGTTTTTTAATGACAAACGAACGAATTTTACCATATTTTGCCGCATGTATTTTTAAAATGTTTGAAAGTAGAAAACAGACTGTGATACCATGAGCTTTTTTATTTATCATAATGTTTATTTTACTTGTATATTTGTGTTTTACCTGTCTCATTGAATGTAGTTTTATGATATAATTCTAAGGTGTCTCAAAAGTCGAAGCCG